CTAACATCAGTACTCGGTCCAGGCATTTTCTTTACGAAATCAGTATTCAACTGCCTTGCTTTTTCAGAAATTACTGACTGCATAACAATGTGTCCTGCAAACTGTTTTTGGTTTATCCACACCACCAACAAATTCTCAACATCTTTGAGTATTCATGATCACTTTTTTGTGAGCATATCTACCCCTTTCGCAACAACAGCTTACCTGATTTCCTTTTTCTTCACCACAATGGAAGTGAAGGGTGTATGGGGCTTCCAATACATCCTGGCAAGATGGGCCATATGCATGCCACTTTCATATTTTGCAATGATTTCTTTCTTGAATTCTATTGTGTTTCTCACATCTTTACCAAAAGGCTGGCAGTACAAGCTTTCTTTGGGCCCATGGTGGCTCATTTAGAAGATGCAAGCACAAAAAAGAATGGAATAGTATTACGAAATGTATCATATGGACACGTGGAGTGATGTTTACTCGCCAATGAACAATGCTACACTGACTGGTAGTGGTGTGTGGGGTGCTTTTGTGTGGCGTGGATGTTGGGAGGCCACTAATATGCATTCCGGACAAGCAACAAATGGGGAGCCAAATTACAAACCGCGAGGCTATATTTTGACAAAAAAAGTTGTCGAAAGTCGAAATTTACGAAGCACGAGCCTTATGAAACTCGAGGGTCCACTGTATTTGGTAAATCTTGAAATAAATTGTCAAATAAATTATTTTTGTACTTCACCTCACTATGGCACTACTAAATCATCACTCAACAAACCAGCTGTATCTCACCGAGGCAGGGTGCCCCAAAAAAAGAAAAATGAAAGTTTCTCTTTTCAATTTAGTAATGGATACAGGAGAAGCGGTTACTAGCCCCTTGCTCCAGTATAAATATTATTATTGTTTTTAAATAATACAGTATTCAACATTCAATTTGGAGATAAATTATGACTAAATTTCTCAAATTTTGAGTGAAATGTAAAATGATGAATGCTTGCATTAGTTTCTGACAGACTATGTTGGTAAAAGAATAGCTATGCACTTGACTAAATATGACAGTGTATCTGAAAATTTAGCCAGCATGGACCAGTAGGCTGACTCCAGTGACTTCTCAGTATTTGCCCAACTCTTGTATTCATACCTGACTTTGTTCCTGTCTTCTTCACGCATATTGTGCAACCACCATATATTATGTATCATACTTGAAAAAACCTGTTGTGCAGGCAAAATATTGTCTTAAGTTTCCAGTTACTGTGTGTGTCTTAGCTAATTCAAGTTTCTGCTTAACACTGAGACCCCACATTTCCTCTTGGCACCACCACTTGTTTTAGAAACTGTTGTTAACTGCACTTTACTTAATATGTTAATAAAATCACAAAAAATTCTCTAACTCCAGGGAAAAATAGAGACCAGATGATGAGTACATGTGAATGAGCACAAACAATAAACTGATGAGGGTTGCCTACCATTCAGGGAATAATAAATATGAGACAGGTCTTGGATGTGGCTTCTCTGGCCCATCCCAAAGAAACAATGGAGTCAGAAGACAACTGGACACTATTCCTACAGACAAAATCCAGAACTATGAACTTTTGTCCATTTTCTCTGATACTTCCAGCCTTTATCCAGTCAATGTTTTTGGTCTGAAGTTGCCAAAATTTGTTAATGAGAGGTTATACTGTACTGTAAAAGCAATAAAGGGACATTTTTTTCTGAGTTTTGGAGGTTGTGAAGTACCTTTAACATCATTTTGAAAGCTAGATGATGATGATACCATTTGGTGGCTTAACATTAGGGAACAATCAGTTGCATCATCCAGCCCTGGTTGCAACTAACCTGTGAGAGTTAAAACAGAAAACCTTAATAAAGTATAGTACATATAGAACAAGTAAATGTTTGGTGTATAGTATGGTTTTGACTCGGTAAAACCAACCTTTTACTATTATAATTAAATACTGTACATCATTCTTGTTAACACTGTGCTCTAGTTGGTATGCGATGACATAAGCAGATGAGTGGTGATGTAATAATAAGTATAATAATATATAATAATACAGTGGACCCCCGCTTAACGATCACCTCCCAATGCGACCAATTATGTAAGTGTATTTATGTAAGTGTGTTTGTACGTGTATGTTTGGGGGTCTGAAATGGACTAATCTAACTTCACAATATTCCTTATGGGAACAAATTCAATCAGTACTGGCACCTGAAAAGCTCTGTTCCACAAGGCACAGTACTCGCTCCCATCTTGTTCCTCATCCTCATATCTGACATAGACAAGGATGTCAGCCACAGCACCGTGTTTTCCTTTGCAGATGACACCCGAATCTGCATGACAGTGTCTTCCATTGCAGACACTGCAAGGCTCCAGGTGGACATCAACCAAATCTTTCAGTGGGCTGCAGAAAACAATATGAAGTTCAACGATGAGAAATTTCAATTACTCAGATATGGAAAACACAAGGAAATTAAATCTTCATCAGAGTACAAAATAAATTCTGGCCACAAAATAGAGCGAAACACCAACGTCAAAGACCTGGGAGTGATTATGTCGGAGGATCTCACCTTCAAGGACCGTAACATTGTGTCAATCGCATCTGCTAGAAAAATGACAGGATGGATAATGAGAACCTTCAAAACGAGGGATGCCAAGCCCATGATGACACTCTTCAGGTCACTTGTTCTATCTAGGCTGGAATATTGCTGCACACTAACAGCACCTTTCAAGGCAGGTGAAATTGCTGACCTAGAAAATGTACAGAGAACCTTCACGGCACGCATAACGGAGATAAAACACCTCAATTACTGGGAGCGCTTGAGGTTCCTGAACCTGTATTCCCTGGAACACAGGAGGGAGAGATACATGATTATATACACCTGGAAAATCCTAGAGGGACTAGTACCAAACTTGCACACGAAAATCACTCACTATGAAAGCAAAAGACTTGGCAGACGATGCACCATCCCCGCAATGAAAAGCAGGGGTGTCACTAGCACGTTAAGAGACCATACAATAAGTGTCAGGGGCCCGAGACTGTTCAACGCCTCCCAGCATACATAAGGGGGATTACCAACAGACCCCTGGCAGTCTTCAAGCTGGTACTGGACAAGCACCTAAAGTCGGTTCCTGATCAGCCAGGCTGTGGCTCGTACGTTGGATTGCGTGCAGCCAGCAGTAACAGCCTGGTTGATCAGGCTCTGATCCACCAGGAGGCCTGGTCACAGACCGGGCCGCGGGGGCGTTGACCCCTGGAACTCTCTCCAGGTAAACTCCAGGAACATACTTCTGGAATGAAAAAATATCGTTAACCGGGGGTCCACTGTAATATAATAATGCATAATAATAATAATATGATACATAATAATAATATAATAATACATAATAATAATAATGTAATAATACATAATAATAATATAATACATAATAATAATAATAACTTATTTCGATAAGGCTGATAGGTTTTACAAAATTGATTAACATTTAATAGTGCATATGGAAAGCCCCTGCTTATGCAGAGCACTTTGGGCAAAAAACTTCTAAGTATGGAGAACCTATATTTTACCACTTTGTACGACTGGTTCTTGATGAAGCCCACTGTGTGAAATGTTGTAAAGTTGAGATTTTTTCCTGCTTGAAGTGTCTTTGAATTATTTTGCTCCCTCATGGTAGGTTCCTTGATGCCAGTGAGGGGCTCTTGATCTGAGGAATTGGACCCCATGCTTCCCTTCCTTGGTTAGAACCTTAACTGCCCTGGGTTTGTACGTAATTGTCCTTGGCATTTTCTCGAATGGACAATACTTTGGTGTCTCTCTCTGTTTTTAATCCTTGCCAATATCTTTTTTATCATATTAAGGAAATTCTCTAGGTTATTTTACTCACTATGGTGTATGTATGAACTGTGGGTGTAAGAATACTTAGTTTAACCAAATAGGAATTATTGAGAAAATAAAAGGATTGCATGTTGTTTTGTAAGAAGGCAATGTAGACTCGCATCTGCTGCTTTGATGGTCATTCCTAGTCCAAACTCTCAAACAAGATAGGCCATTCTCCAGTTAATTTTATGGGGGAAGTTGGAGTGAGTGGCTCATTTGCCTGTTGCAGCAGTAATGTTTTGAAAAGTCGTCATTCCTTTATCTGGAGAGTCTCACTGCTGCACTTCCTGGCAGCCTGTTAAAATTAGTCAAGTTCTGCATTATTATTTTAAAAAAAATTTTGTACTTTGGCTAGCTTTATTCATTTATCTTTGTCTCGTATATATTTACTCTTCTCTCATATCTTACCCTCTACTTTCCTGCTGATGTGTGTTGCTAAGAAAATTCTTTTTTCTTCATATTTTTTTTTTCAATGTTAACAGGTAAATAGTGTTTAACCTACCTGCACATCATACTTTAATCAGTATTGTAGCAACTTTATTGAATTTTCTCATTTCACTTTTAATGTCATCAGCATGTAGAGGCAGTCAAGATAAATCTTATATTAATTTAGAATAAAGACAGAATGCTTTATCATATTCAAATAGGCATAAATTAAAATAATTTAGACATGGACAGGATTGAAATTTATGATTTATGTACTTAGAAATAAAATACACATTTCTGAACTACTGTGATAAACTTCATTAGGTAATACCTGTGATATACCTGTGACCAGTTTTGAGAGTTCTACCCTTGCAGCCTGGCATGAATCTAGGCTTACCTGTTTTGATGATGGGACTGTAAAATGTGCAGCATGGGAGAAGAAACAATAATCTTTTGTTTTTTTGTTTTACCTTGAGTTTATGTACAATAATAATTCATTGACTGGAGGGTTTGAACCCATGGTAAGCCAGTCCTAAAACTAGCAAACCGGTGTGGTGTCATTATGATTTCGGGAGGTAAGCCAGTCCTAAAACTAGCAGGTCGGTGTTGTGTCATTATGATTTCGTGAGTCGTGCAATAATATGAGTGAATGAGCATTTTGTTTACATTATAAGAACATCATTCTTGCACTTCACTGTACAACAAAATTTTTCTTTTTACCAGACATGCGATTTCCTCTTGATGGAAGCGTGGAGCTTTATTTTACTCACTCCCCTGACGAACACCCACGAACAGTGTCTAATGTTTCATGTGACAAGTCTCCATGTGCTATTGCATCGTGGAACTCATACGAAAATATCAACTTCACTTTTGAGCAAGTGGATGACCAAGGTAAGTACTGTTTTTGTTTTTTACACATTAAAGATTGGAATATGGAAGTGTATTAAAGCTGTGTGTGGTTTTCAGTTTCTTCAGTGCATCAAGGATATCAAACCATCCTAAGAGCTGCTTGAAGAAGGCATCAGATATGGTACATGTCATACTTCATTGGTATATGGTAAATTATATGTATTCAGCTCTTGGCCTAAGGAACTGGACCTGTGCTCCCCTTCCTTGGATTGAAACTGAATACCTCCCATTCTTCCAGGTGCTGTATGACTCCTATGGATTCAGTACTTCCCCATGAATAATAATAATACTGTAATATCTTTATTTCTGTCTCCATGGGGAAGTGAAACAGAACTCTTCCTCCGTAAGTCATGTGTGTCGTAAGAGGCAACTAAAATGCCAGGAGCAAGGGGCTAGTACCTCCTTCTCCTGTATACATTACTAAAGTTAAAAAGAGAAACTTTTTTTTTTTTTTTTTTTTTTTTTGATGGCCGGTTTGTTGAAAGAAAGACAAAGATCTTTATTTCTACAAGTACATGTACAAGGTATACAAGCCTAGCTGACATCAATGACATACAACTACATAGAAAGCCCCTCATTTTGCAGAGCATTTCAGGCAAATTAGGTCAGTTTTGCCCCAGGATGTGACCCACACCAGTCGACCAACACTCAGGTATCCATTATTACTGATGGGTGAGCATAGACAGCCAGTGTAAGGAAACATGCCCAATATTTCTACACTTCCTGGAAATCGAACTCGGACATTCACTATGTGAAGCAAGAGCTTTCGCCACAGACCACCAGGTACAAAAATGACTAGTGCAGTGGAACCTCGGATTTCATACTTAATCCATTCCAGAAAACTGAAGTAATGTATCCCATAAGAAATAATGTAGATACAATTAATCTGTTCCAGACACCCAAAAATATTAATAAAAAATACATTTTTTAAAGAATAACTATAGTTTTACATACAGAAAACGATGATAAATAAATATAAATGACTAATTTTAATGATAAATGAACATTACATACCTTTATTGAAAACTCTTGTTGGAGTATTGAAGAAGGTGAGGAAGGGAGAGGGAGTTTAGGTTATTGTTTGGAAGGTAAATCCCCCTTTATAAGAACTTCAGGCATCAATGCTCTCTCTGGGGTTACTTCCCTTCTTTGTTTTTTACTGGCACTTGACCCCTGTCTCACTAAAAATCTGTCCAGAGAGCTCCGTTTCTGGCGTCTCTTTAAGATTTGCCTTTTCGCAAATGATTGACTCCACAACACAATCTCCCGCTAACTGTTTTTCGTTGATCTACACCAACAACAACAACTCCACATCTTTGATTGTTTGTGATCTCTGTTTCATTAGCATATTTACCCCTTTTGCAGCTTTAGCTTATTGATTTCTACTCTCTTTGCCAGGATGGAACAGATTGTTGATTTCAACTTCCCATACATCCTGGCAAGCTCGGCTAAATGTACGCCACTTTCGTATTTTTCTGCAATCTCTTTCTTGAATTCTATTGTGGTTCTCATCTTCTTTACCAAAGGGCTGGCACTAGGAACTTTCTTTGGGCCCATGGTGGCTTATTTTGCAGTCACAATTGACAAACAAGCACAAAAATTGCAAAATGTTTTGGATGAATGCTCACTCAACCAGTGACAGAGCTGATACGTACGATTTCTCGATGGAGGTACGAAATCCAGACCAAAATTTTGCCCCAAAAAAGTGTTCTAATTCTGAATTGTATAATATTCGGATCGTACGAAAACCGGAGTCCCATTCTATTCTCAGAGTGTATTACAAAATACTTATAATGTACCAGTACAGTAGGGCCCCGCTTTGGTGCATTTTGCTTTATGGCGGTCCGCTAATATGGACATTTCAAATTATGACCAAAACTCACTATACTGCTCCCTGTCTTTCTAATAGGGTCACCGTGCCCCACCTGGTTTGTTTACATTCTTTGTGAGCACTGCGTCTCTCCATTATATTTCGAAACTTTCCAAAATTTCAAGTGTTTTAAACTTATTTCATTTGACTTGGCAGGTTTTATTTCCTATTTCCAGAGTCTGTTCATTATATTGAGTACTCACTATTATAAATTTTGCATATACAGTGGACCCTCGTGTAACGGCGGCATCGGCTAATGCCAAAATCAAATACAGTGGCACTTTTTGCGTCAAAATGTTGGCTCAGCTAATGCCTATGTACAGCCAGTGTGCCGTTGTTTACAAGCCAGGGAGGATGATTCCACACATACATGCTATATATTTTGTATTATTCCATTGTTTTTAGTGCTTGTAACTTCTAAATAAGCCACCATGGGACCAAAGAAAGCTTAGTGCCAGGCTTGTGGTAGAGAAAGAAAGAAACGCAATAGAATTCAAGAACTTGTAGCAAAGTACCAAATTGAAGGAGGAAGAGCGAGGGGAGAATGTGCCTTCTGCAGTGATTCAGCGATTTTATATGTACAATGTACAATATTAAAGCAGCAGGTATTGATAAAGGCTATAGTGCCAGCCAGCGATAAGTGTAGAATTAACAGTGTAGCAAGTAAGTTAAGCGAGTAAGCGATAAAAAAACGACACGAAAGTAACTGTCCAGTATTGTTGGATGTTTATAGAGCCAGTAAACATATGCCGGCTGCTGTCTTCCACCACCCTAAACCTCTGCCAGCATCTCTTCCATCAAACTAACTAATTAAACTAACATCTCCTCCAAGGTAAGTGTAAATATAAAAGTGTAAGTATAAAAGTAAATGTAAGTGTAAATATAATCTTTATTTACACTTATATTTACTTACGTAACTGTATTTGTGTATTACCTGGAGTTTACCTGGAGAGAGTTCCGGGGGTCAACGCCCCCGAGGCCCAGTCTGTGACCAGGTCTCATGGTGGATCAGAGCCTGATCAACCAGGCTGTTACTGCTGGCTGCATGCAATCCAACGTACGAGCCACAGCCCAGCTGGTCAGGTATTGACTTTAGGTGCTTGTCCAGTGCCTGCTTGAAGACAGCCAGGAGTCTATTGGTAATTCCCCTTATGTATACTGGGAGGCAGTTGAACAGTCTTGGGCCCCTGACACATATTGTGTTGTCTCTTAACGTGCTAATGACACCCCTGCTTATTTATAAATTAAAAAGTAAATACAGTGGTCCCTCGTTTATCGTCGTTAATCCATTCCTGGAAGTGCGACAATTATCGAAAAAGACGATTTTCGAATAAATTTTCCCCATAAGAAATAATGTAAATACAATTAAACCATTCCTGACACCCAGAAGTATTAAAACAAAAAAAAAATTTTACATGAAATATAGATGTAGTACATAAACAATACAATGGGACATGATGAATGAAACATTAACAGCATAACACTTACCTTTATTGGCGATTCTTCTTAGTGCATGGAAGACTGGAGGAGGAGAGAGATTGGATTAGTTACTGTTTCAAAGGGGAATCCCCTTCCATCAGCACCTTAGGTACCAAGTCCTTTTCTGGGATTACTTCTCTTCTCTGTTTCTTAATGCCACTAAGGACCAGCTTGAGAGTCACTGGAGTCCTGTCTCGCAAAAAAAGGGTCCAGAGAGCTGTGTTTCTGGCACCTCATTAAAACTTCCCTAAAATGGGCCAAGACTCTATCACTGTACAAGTTGCTAATATGGCTTGCAACATCCTTCTCAGGATGATGTTTCTCCATAAATCTTTCCATCCTACCCCACATTTCAAAAATCTCCTTAATTTTTGAAGAAGGCACCTTCTTCCATCTCTCTTCCTCCTCCTCTGCAGCAAGATTCTGAGCTGTGATCAGTTGCTGTTCCTGCTGAAGCTCTTGCAGCTCCTCAGTGGTTAGCTCTTCGTTGTGGTCCTCCTCCAACTCTTCCACATCCTCCAAACTCACATCCAACCCCATGGAACTCCCCAATGCCACAATAGAGTTCACAATTGACATAGGATCATCAGGGTCAGCCACAAGCCCTTCAAAATCCCTCTTGTGGACACAATCTGGTCACAATTTTCTCCAAACAAAGTACAAAGTCCTGGTAGTCACTCCCTCCCAAGCCTTACCTATAAGGCTTATACAATGGAGGATACTGAAGTGTTCTTTCCAAAACTCTCTTAGGGTCAAGTGGGTATCTGAGGTCACATTAAAGCACCTTTGAAATATTGCTTTCGTGTAGAGTTTTTTAAAGTTTGAAATGACCTGCTGGTCCATGGGCTGGAGGAGAGGAGTGGTATTCAGGGCAAGAACTTTACTGTGATGATCCTAAACTCCTGCAGAATTAGGTCATCCAAGTTTGGAGGATGAGCAGGTGCATTGTCCATTTCTAGGAGGCACTTGAGATCCAATTTCTTTTCCAGGAGGTAATTCTTCACACTAGGGCCAAACACTTCATTGAACCACTTGACGAAAATTTCCCTCGTGACCCATGCCTTATTATTAGATCTCCAAAACACACACAATTTACTCTTCATAACATATTTTTTTTTGAACACCCTGGGATTTTCAGAATGGTACACTAGTAACGGCTTCACTTTGAAATCCCCACTAGCATTAGCACAGAACATGAGCGTCAGCCTGTCTTTCATAGGCTTGTGTCCTGGCAGTCCCTTTTCCTCCTGAGTAATGTAGGTCTTCTTTGGCATTTTCTTCCAGAAGAGGCCTGTTTCATCACAACTGAACACTTGTTCAGGTTTCAATCCTTCAGCCTCTGTGTACTCCTTGAATTCACTTACGAATTTTGTAGCTGCAATTTTGTCCGAACTGGCAGCCTCACTATGCCTTATCACACTGTGTATGCCACTACGGTTTTTAAATCTCTCAAACCAACCTTTGCTGGCCTTAAATTCACAAATATCAGTACTCGTTGCAGGCAATTTCTTTACCAGATCGTCATGCAACTGCCTAGCCTTTTCACAAATAATCGACATCATAAGACTATCTCCTGCTAATTGTTTCTCGTTTATCCACACCAATAATAACTTCTCAACCTCTTTGAGTACTG